ATTTTCTCCAACATATTTTCATATACAAATATTATAAAATAAAATTAAAATTTTATTGTTTATGTAATTATATGATACAATAGCACATTGATATAAAAAAATTGTAACAATTTTATAAAACATTAATTACATTACTTTAAATTATTGTAGTTTTAAAATAAAATTAATATATATATATATATAATTGTGATATTTTTATATTAATATAAGAGTTTTTTACTCAAATAATACTATTTAAAAAAAATTTACCCAAATAGCAACTGTGCAAATTTATTTTCCCAACTAGCATCATTTACTGTTCACGTTTTGAAACAGACCGTTCTGAAATCAGAACGGGCCGTTCCGGATTAAAAAAGAACACATGAAAAATAAATCAGAATGGGTCGTTCCAAAATCAAAATTAGCACATAAAAAGTGGAACCAAAACGCCGTTCTGACCTACAAATAAAAAAAAATTCTCGATTTTCACTTATCAAATACCAAAACTCAGAAACGAACATCAAATAATTAAATTTATTGAATATTAACATTATAAATATATCTAAATAAATTTATTAAAATTCAATACAACAATAAAGATCAATGGTGACAGAAATTGATTATGTTGTTCTCTAATGTCCATTTTTGTTTTAATCCTGTTGGACTTTGGTCGACCCTTGAAAGTTCGCTTGAGTTCTGGATTTGGCCACAAAGTTAGACCAGTGTAAGTAGGCCAATAATCTTCATGTTGGAGCTTTCCAAATGAACTGTTTGACCTGCTGGGAGATTTACAGTAAGGCTAAATGAAATGTGGTATGATTGCGGCAAGCTCCAGAAAGGTATATGAAGGATAGCTTGGAGAGCTCCAACATGAAGATTACATCCGAGAAAAGTTTGACCTGCTGGGAGATTTACAGTAAGGCTAAATGAAATGTGGTATGATTGCGGCAAGCTCCAGAAAGGTATATGAAGGATAGCTTGGAGAGCTCCAACATGAAGATTACATCCGAGAAAAGTTTGACCCGCTGGAAGATTTACAGTAAGGCTAAATGAAATGTGATATGATTGGGGCAAGTTCCATAAAGGTATACGAAGGACAGTTTGGAGAGCTTTGACATGAAGATTACATCCAAGAAAAGTTTGACCCGCTAGGAGATTTACAGTATGGCTAAATGAAATGTGGTATAATTGCGGCAAGTTCCAAAAAGGTATATGAAGAACAGTTTAGAGAGCTCCGACGTGAAGATTATTGGTCTACTTACACTGGTCCAACTTTGTGGCCAAATCCAGAACTCAAGCGAACTTTCAAGGATCGACCAAAGTCTAGCAAGGTTAAAACATAAATGGACATTAGAGAACAACATAATCAATTTCTGTCACCATTGATCTTTATTATTGTATTGAATTTTAATAAATTTATTTAGATATATTTATAATGTTAATATTCAATAAATTGGATTATTTGATGTTAGTTTTTGAGTTTTGGTATTTGATAAGTGAAAATCGAAAAAAAAATTATTTGTAGGTCAGAACGGCCCGTTCTAAAAGCAGAACGGGTCGTTCTGGTTCCACTTTTTATGTGCTAATTTTGATTTTTGAACGGCCCGTTCTAATTTGTTTTCCATGTGTTATTTTTTAATCCAGAACAGCCTGTTCTGATTTCAGAACGGCCCGCTCCGAAACATGAACAGTAAATGGTGCTAGTTAAGGAAATAAATTTGCACGATTGCTATTTGGGTAAAAAAAAATTTAAATAGTATTATTTGAGTAAAAAAACTCTTAATATAACAAATTGTAACCATAATAAAATATTAATTTATTAATTTTTGACAGTTTTGAAATAAATTAAAATAAAAAATCAAAATTTATTACAACTTTTGAAGTGCTATTTTTCCAAAGTTTTCTATAAAACTCACATAAATATATAACAAATTATTAATAAAAAAAAATGAATGACATAATATAATAAACAATTATTTATAATAATTATTAAATATGAAGATTTTTACATTAATGTAAATAATTATGCACAATTATAAATTAATATAAATTAAAAAATCTCATGATTTTTTTCAATTAAATTTACGTAAATAAATTTTATTTAATATTAATATTAGAAACTATAAAGGTATGAAAAAATATATAATTTTTTAATGATATCGATAAGTCAAAAGATGATCTTACATCTCACAAACTCTCAAGTTTTAATGATAGCGAACAGAACGTTTTTCTTTAAGAGAAAATGATTTTGTGAAATACTCGTCAAACAAAGCATGAGACATGATTAGTTAAAGAGATAATGTATCATTAGACAAAACATACAATTTGTCTTTATAAAGTCTTAAATGTCTATCATTTCATAATGACTAACAACTACTTGTTGCATGTTTGAGTTTCTTAACAAATCAAACTAAGAAAACTCTTTGGAACTCATAAATCAATTAGAGAGTATGTGTTAAGTCAGATGAGACGAAGAAATTTCCAGTAAGGTTTTGAATGAGACAAATATAATACATGTCGTTATTTCTAACAAGTGTGTTAGTGTTATAGAAAAACATAAAGTACAGGCAAGTTATGAAGAATGGAACAAGAGTCACTTCATACACTACAAAAGAAGGCATCAGACTAAAAGGCCAAAATAAGACCATAGACGAAGCCAAAACAAGCACAAGAAGGAAAAACGATCCCAAGAAAGTCTATTATCAGACAAAAGTGTGTCAAGAACAACCTAGAACACAAATTAGACGAAGCATTGGTCAAAAGAAAGTCAACTATGTATCAGACTAAGGACAGTACAAACTGAAAGGTATTCCAGATGGAAACAAAGTTTGTTCATCCACAATGATTGACCAGACCATAGAGAAAGTCAAAGCATCAAGGTCAAAAACTCAGATGAAGGACAAGACCTGAGACGTACAAGATCAACAGATGCAGACGAAGACTGCCACGAAAGCTTATGAAGAATCATATCTCCAAGGACAACTTAGACATCGTCTACGATCATATAAAATCTCTCAACATGATCGCGTGACTAAAAGAAGAGAAGAAGAAGAAGAAAAACACGTAAAAGCAAAAGCATGCATGTGTCAGAAAAAGTACATTACTTTTTCAGATAAGGACAACGCCTCTACAGGTAAGCGATCAGAAAAAGACAAAAAGGTTCCCATGTCTCTGCTAAATTCAGACACTACCGCATGCAAAACGAATAAGACTTCATGCAATGTCCATGAACAGGAAGCAACATTTAATGCAAGTTCCTAAACATTAAATGAAAGATCAAACTAGTTATGAACGACTATATCCGCTTCAATGGACACTTGCAACGGGCAAATTTCACAAGACTATATATATGTCACAACTTCGAAACTAGAAAGGTTGGCTTTTAGAAAAGAAAAAGACGAAGAGTGATATCAAGCCCATGAAGTAAGGAAACTAGAGAAAGAGCGTTTACCGTCGAATCTACCATAGTGTACTCATCTCTGTACACTAAGGAGTTGTAAGTGTAACTTAGGAACATGAACCTTAGTGAGTGTAGAAATCTTTGTATCCTCTCTATGATAGTAAACGACACTCAATCCTTGTAAGACTAAGGTTGCATACCTTAGTGAGTGTACAAACATATGTATCCTCTCTGTGAGAGTAAACCAAACACTCAACCTCAATTATCTATTTATCATTTATAAAGTCTGAAGAGACTAGGGAAAGAATACTTGTAAA